CTGTAAGAATACACTTCTATGGATATGATTAGTATTGCTTTCTTGTTTTATTAGAATCTTGGTTCCTGGTCCCTCAATAAACACTTCAGAAATCTGTAGATAATTCTTTCTTTCCAATATTATTATGTTCATTGCCTTTAAAGCCATTATACACACTGACCAGGAACACATTTAAAGTCCCAGGAATAATCATTTTGATAAAAACTGTCCTTTCCCAACATTCGAGAAATATTTGAGTATGACCACATGGAAAATCTGGAGAGTTTCTACAGTAGCTACAAATATGTGGAGAGAGGGAAATTCTGATGGCTTCTCAAGACTTTTCTGAATTAAAATCTGATTTAATTTACTGTATCCTGACAGATATAAGTAAATGTAAATATGTAAACACCTTTTTTATTGGTAATGACTGAGATTTCTGAATTTCTCGGTAATTATGTTTAGTAGGAGGCTGTGCTGAGCGGCTCCCCAGAATCTGTCAGCTTTTCATGACATAGTAGCCCACTGATCACTGCCTCAGACCTTCAGTAATACACAGGCCATGTGCCTACACTTACAGAACTTCACAAGTTTCCATGGATACCGGAATTTTAGTGCTGAGGCACATTTACTACCATTTTTCTTGTCACCGAGAGTCCTGTAAACACTTGTGCTTCAAGATTTTGTTCAGAAATTTAGCATTTTATAGAGGACTGAGTCAGAATTGCCTTTTCCCAAATGCTTTGTATGACTTCCCCTTAGGGCAAAATCCCTGAAATTATTTATATTTGTGGCCTCTTTTTAGTGATGAGCTTTTCTTTATTAGACTAATAAAAGACAATAAAGGCTTAACTGCATTGTCAGTATCACTTTTAAGGGACAGATATTTATAGTATATAAATGTTACAATTAATAAATAAGACAATTTGCTCTAAATTTAAAATGGAAAAAAGCAAAAAGGAAAGCAATAACAGGAATATTATCTAGATATTTAGCCATTTCTCTTCTTGAGTAGGATGAAATATAAGTGTCAGTTTCAAGGACACCACTGTGTCACATCTATTGCCATTGTTTGAATGCACTCTTTCTTATATTCAGGTTTTTGTGGGGGTTTTTTTGTATTACGAAAAGATTTTTTCATAAATCTGTGAACATGGAAGGCTATGTCATTTCTCTTCTCATTTCCTATGTGTATAACTGTGAGGCAAGCAGAAGTAACACCATGGCAGGCAGCTTAGATTAGGAGTAGGCCTTCCTACTTCTGGGTGGTAAGACTATCAGGCCACCTGGGTACAACCAATCAGCTTTCGCTTAACACTGACCTCTGTTTGCCAATTAGGAAATTAGGAATGGGGCGGAAACCCCTGGGAAAGTCCCACACGCACGAAAGTTTTGACCAATGAAATTGCTTGGCAAACTTGTAACCAATCCGCTTAAACCAACTACCAACAGCGTGTGCTCACCCTATAAATTTGTGTAACAGCTTGGGCTCGGGGCTCTCTGACCCAGCACCACTGCGTTGGATGCGGCAGGAGCCCTGACTCGAGTCAGCAATAAACTTCCCTTTATGCGAGTTACATTGGCTTGGAGGCCTTCTCTCTTCCCGCTTGGGGATTCAGACATTGGGCATAACAATAACTGAGGCTCAGGTTTAAGGAACATACCCTGTGTCACACAGCTAGCAAGGGGAAGAACTGGGATTAGAACTCAAGACTCCTAACTCACTATCCAGGGCTTTCCCACTGTCCTTTTCCTGGGCAGAATACAGGCAACTTCCTCTATAGAGAGAATGCCCCTGTTCTTCCTTCCTTGCCACATTCTGATAGGTTTCTGTGCCTCTGACCTGGGCTCCATTAAATCTTCCTTTTCTCTACTTGTTGTTTGATCATTCAGTCCTCTTAACTGCCTCAGACACTTGGCTCAGCTTAACACACTAAGCTGAGTAATTTCACATGCATATAACCATTGGGAAGCAGAGTCACAGAGACATCACATAGCCTGGATATGCACTGCATAAGGACTCAGTAGGGAAACAGGTTTCTAGTTCCAACGATATTGATCAAGAATGTACAAAACCCATGGAATGAGAGGCTCAAGAACTTCATACCAAAATGCAATCTGAGCAGACATGTTGCCTGGATAGTTAAGTAGAGAAAAAAACTTTTATTTTTTGCAGCATTGACTTTGGGGGCAGAATTGAAATTATCTGCTTGTCTCCACACTCACCTGTTATGCTCCTGTAGCCAAAAACCTATGAGTCGTTTCAGCAAGCATCTCAGTTAAGGTCATGAGATCGTCACACCACCATTTTTACATGAAGTCTCATTCACCGTGTATTTGTACAGACCTTTTGTTTTTTGCAGTTTTTTCACCTAAAAGGAAGACATTGTTTTTAATATCTAACAAAAGAGGGAGTCTGGGTAGAGGATGAGCTCTTTTTTAAATTCATTATTAACTGGAGGATAATTGCTTTACAATGTTTTGTTGGTTTCTGCTGTATAACAATGCGAATCAGCCATAAGTATACATATATTCCCTCCCTTCTGAACCTTCATCCCACTGTCCCCCATCCCACCTCTCTAGGTTGTCACAGAGCACAAGGTTGAGTTCCTTGTGTTATATAGCAGCTTCCCACTAGCTATGTTTTACATATTGTAATGCACACGTGTCAATGCTGCCCTCTTAATTCATCCCATTCTCTCCTTCTCTTATGTCCACAAGTCTGTTCTCTATGTCTGCATCTCTATCCCTGACCTACAAATAGGTTCATGAGCACCATCTTTTTAAATTCCTGTATATGTGTTAATATATGATATTTGTTTTCTCTTTCTGACTTACTTCACTTTGTATAACAGGCTGTAGGTTCATCTACCTTAGTTCAATTGACTCAAATTCATTCCTTTTTATGGCTGAGTAATATTTCATTGTATATATGTACAACTTCTTTATCCATTCATCTGTCAGTGGACATCTAGGCTGTGAGGAAGAGCTCTTGACTAAGAGACCTGATCTGGATCCTTCCCAGGGGGAGGCCCTGAGTGAGGAACTCCATGGCTCAGGCCTCAGAGTGACTGCCAGAACCTGAGGAATCATGGGTTTGTTGTCAGGCCCAAGTGAGAGAAAGAATAGGAAAGTGCTTTGCTACTTATAAAATATGCATTAAAAAATAGAGTTCTTCTGGATAAACAACAAGGTCCTAATGTACAGCACAGGAAACTATATTCAAGATCCTGTGATTAAACCATAATGGAAAAGGATATAAAAAAAGAATGTCTATATGTGTACAACTGAGTTACGTTGCTGTGCAGCAGAGATTAGCACAACGTTGTAAATCAGCTCTTTTTCAATTAAAAACCAGAACAAACCAGAGTTCTCTTGAGGACTAACGTTACACATTGCCAATTGATTTTAGCGTCCATATGTTAAAAAGGCAAATAATGATTTTTGTTAACACTGGGCTTTTGCTGGACTTCATTCATTTTACAACAAACATGACAAAAGTATCTCCATTATGGTTATTTCAATATGTTTCAACCCTTTCAACCTAACTAGGCAGCAACTTAAAGTGTCATCCATGTGGTGCTTCACTTAATATAATAGCCAAAATAATGGGAATTAGTTATTTGGTTGTAATCTAACACCTGGTCCCATCACATATCATGTACAGCCCTTGATATCCCAGGACTACAACTCTGGATTCAGGCAAACTGGCTCTTACTACCCTACGCTAATTCCTCATTCTTTCTGGATGGAAATTTTAATTCTGTACTGCTCATCCATAGAGTACCACTGAGGAGTGATTAACTATCTCTCCAATCTGTAGGAAGGAAGAGAGAACTCAGAGTTCTCCTGAACGTCAAAGCTTTCTCTGTTTCTCCTACAAATTCCATTCAGGCATCAAATTGAATTTACTCTTAACTGAATGCATTTTATCTATACCTGGCAGGGATCTAGAAGTAAAATTACAAGATTTATTTCATTTTAATTCTATCATGATGCATTTAATCACAAATACCCCCAAAAAATGAAAAGATAATTTATCATTTTGTTCTGACTGAGCAACCCTCCTTGGTTCACATTCATGAATCTATAATGCAGGGAGGAGAGCGGATGATTAAGTGTCCGATTAGAGAAAACAGATTAACCTGGCAAACATAATAAATTTAGCTCATAAGCAGGATGGCTTTATAAATGCTCACAATAACTCTCCTGCATAAAATCATGAACCACAGCCTTCAGTGATGACTCAATTGAAATAGTTGGGGAACATAAAGCAAATGCATGTTTATGGATCTCTTTTTGACACATTAAAAGAACACCGAAATCTAATTCAGTTTATAACTCTAAAAATACACTAAATAGGGAACATGTAGGAAAAATATTAACTCATAAAAATAAAGCTACACTCTCAAGTGTTCAAGTTTCTACTTTATCAATAAATATATCTAGATTCCACATGTTTTCAATGTCTACTGATTAATTTCCAAAGATGTCAAAGCCAGACACTGATTTCAAAACCTGCAGAGTCACCCTTAACCTTCACCACAGAACCTGGTTCCTTTATAAAGGCGGCTGCATCTTTAGGTAGCTCTTATTCCATTGGGACAAAACAACATAAAATTAGAGACCTAGTTCAGCCTTTGAATCAGTAGGGGAAAAAAATCCTTTCTTTCAGCTGAGAGTCCATTTATATCAGAGTAAAAATCTAGGTTAGGACGACTTGTTTGAAGGCAAGTCCTTGTGCTTTGCTCCAGAAGGTTCACTTAGCAGTCTGTGGGCCTTCCTTACTTAGCTGGTTTGTTTTCCTGGCCTCCCTTTTTTAGCAAGGAGAAAATGGATACCCTTCACGCCCAGCTTTATTTTTAAACTCTCAAGGCTTTATTCCTGGCGGCCTCTGTTGGCCTATGGCCTGAAAGAGAGTCAGATAGGTGCTGCCCTGTCACACGCACCCAGGTCACACTGAATAAGAGACCCGCTCTGCTCCTCTAAATAGAATCAGGCCACTGTCAGGGGCAGGGCAGGGCATGTGCGGGAGGGGAACTGGCTGCCTCGGAGAGCCTCGTCTTTAAGGAAGGCCGCATCGGAGCCAGGTGAATTCCCCCTGGAAGAAACTGGAACCTGTGCACCCTGCCTTCCTCCGTCCCCCACTCCGCCCACTTCTGAAATTGATTTTAGGCTGCAGGGTGGCGACAGGGAGGAGGCCAAAGTGGGGGGGGGGGGNGTGTGTGTGTGAGAACAGGGACTGGATACCTAGTCTTGCTTACCAAGGCCTCTATCCCGTGTGTGTGTGTGTGTGTGTGTGTGTGTGTGTGTGAGAACAGGGACTGGATACCTAGTCTTGCTTACCAAGGCCTCTATCCCGTGTGTGTGTGTGTGTGTGTGTGTGTGTGTGTGTGAGAACAGGGACTGGATACCTAGTCTTGCTTACCAAGGCCTCTATCCCGTGTGTGTGTGTGTGTGTGTGTGTGTGTGTGTGTGAGAACAGGGACTGGATACCTAGTCTTGCTTACCAAGGCCTCTATCCCGTGTGTGTGTGTGTGTGTGTGTGTGTGTGTGTGTGAGAACAGGGACTGGATACCTAGTCTTGCTTACCAAGGCCTCTATCCCGTGTGTGTGTGTGTGTGTGTGTGTGTGTGTGTGTGAGAACAGGGACTGGATACCTAGTCTTGCTTACCAAGGCCTCTATCCCGTGTGTGTGTGTGTGTGTGTGTGTGTGTGTGTGTGAGAACAGGGACTGGATACCTAGTCTTGCTTACCAAGGCCTCTATCCCGTGTGTGTGTGTGTGTGTGTGTGTGTGTGTGTGTGAGAACAGGGACTGGATACCTAGTCTTGCTTACCAAGGCCTCTATCCCGTGTGTGTGTGTGTGTGTGTGTGTGTGTGTGTGTGTGAACAGGGACTGGATACCTTGTCTTGCTTACCAAGGCCTCTATCCCGTTGTGTGTGTGTGTGTGTTCGTGTGTGTGTGTGTGTGTGTGTGTGTGTGTGTGTGGTGGGTGGTGGTAAATCGCTTCAGTTGTAGCCGACTCTTTGCAACACTATGGACTGTGGCCTGCCAGGCTCCTCTGTCCAAGGGATTCTCCAGGCAAGAACACTGGAGTGGGTTGCCGTGCCCTCCTCCAGGGTATCTTCCAGACCCAGGGATGGAACCCATTATGTCTCCTGCATTGGGAGGCGAGTTCTTTATCGTTGTTGCTGTTGTTGTTCAGTCGCTCAGACTCTGCAACCCCATGTAAGCCAGGCTTCCCTGTCCTTCACCATCTCCCAGAGTTTGCTCAAACTCATGTCCATGGAATTGGTGATGCCATCCAACCATCTTGTCCTCTGTTGTCCCCTTGTCCTCCTGCCTTCAATCTTTTCCAGCATCAGATCCTCGTGGAAATGAGTTATAATATAAACCTTTATTATTATGCTATGTTAGGCTTTGGAACAACTAATGGTGATATCACTTTGGCATTCAGGACTCTTAACATAATTTATGTGCTGGAAAAGCCCGGACATTCTCTTCTCCCTGAACTCATTCCTTCATTTATTAAACATTCTGGGCAGTTATTTGTGCCAGATAAGCTCTGCAGCAAACTGAAGGTGTAGAGATAAGCAGGAACCGGCCCTCTCCAAGGAGCAGAAAATTCCCTAGACACCAGTAAGTGATGCAGGTGTAGGAAACAGTGGGTGTTAGAGAAAGAAGTGGTGGTAACTTGGAAACACAGTCAGTTCTGGCTGAGTGAAGGAAGACATTGGGGAGGAGGTGGCATCTGATCTGGACCTTTAAGGGTGGGTCATTTGGAAATGATCAGCAAATGCCAAGTAGATATTTCATTATTAGCAACATAACTCCAGGTGAGAGTGAGGAATAATGGTCTGATTTGCTTAGAACATAGGGATGGATGAGTAAGGAGTCCAAGATTACAGATGGGGTACAATGCAGACTCAACATGAGGATCCATGGAGGGGTTCCAGGCAAGGAATGACTGGGCAGTGGCTGAGGAAGATTCATCAGACTGGGAGGTGGACCCCTCAGCTGTAGGGAGAGGATGTTGGACCAAGGATCCTTGCAGATCTTGAGAGTTCGTGAAGTAGCCAATCTGGGAACAGGGAGATTCGTGGAACCATCTCAGTGCGGCAGGGCTATGGATGAAATGTGCTGCTTGAGTGGGAAAGGGGCCAGATTGAATTGGGAGACTTTTGGACTGGAAGGATAGCCCGTGATCATGTTTCAGACTGCCGATAGAGTCCTTGGGAGTAGTTTGTGAAAAAGTGCTCTTAGTATTCTTGTAGCGCAGGTGGCTCCATGGACATGAGTAGCAGTTAATCAGCCTGTCCCTCTCTGTGCAGGGGGCTCTTATTTCTTTTGATGTATCCCCGGGGACCAACAGGAAGCTATAAACAGGGCAGCTTGTTTTGGCAGTTGAAAGAGGAAATTTCTTGCACAAAGATTACAGACTTACTTTCTTGTCACTCTTTATTATAAAGTAGTCAAACAATTCTGTGCAGATGAACTGTTAAAATGAAGTATTTTTACCTTAAAGGTGACACACACAGCTTTCAGCAGAGGACTTAAAAATGTATCTTTAATTGGTTCTGAATTACTATGTTTCAGAAGCACGACATGACATACTTCGGCTTGAATGAAATGGATGGATGGCCATGAAAATAAAATTATTCAAGCAGACAGGTTTTAGACATTTTTCTAAGGTATGAGTCTGGGAACCTTCTAAATGCATCTAGAACCTTTTCATCTTGACACCTCCCCTGCAGAAGAGCAGGAGTTCCGTAAGGCTCCACTTCCGATGACTCACTGGTTCCATGTATGAATGTTTAAAACCTTCCTATGATGTTTTATGAAATACACATTCTGTGTGCTTTTACAGCTTATTTGGTGGATATTTGAGGAGAGGGAAAAGATGAAACGTAGTTTTATAGCAGTTCCTTTGGTTAATGATGTTAATCAGTGATGTAGGGAAGGAGCATGCAGTCTGGAAAAAGAAGAGACTTGGGACTGAATTATAGTTCTGTCACTATCTGTGTGATTTTAGTTCTGATACTTAAATCATATGAGTCTCTGTTTCCTCATCTGTAAAAAGGTGATGGTAATCATCAGGTCACAAATGTCACCCAGTCTCAAAGGTCAGTAAGGGAGGAGATACAGCGCACATGGGGACACGCAGTTAAGGATGAGGAAGAGCGTGACCCAGGCCCAAGCTAATCTAAGTCCAGATGTGGGTTCCGCCCTTTCCCACGATGTGACTTTGTATGAGTCCCTGAACTGCTATGAATGTCAGGTTCCTCATCTTTAAAACGGGGGAAATAATTACTACTTTGTGGTGTTGGTTTGAGGATTGAAGTTACTGGGAAATAGAATGAGATGAACACTGGAGATCAAAGAGAACTTGGAAGGCCTCCTTACCCTACCACCATCTTCCTCACCCCCATGGAAACCTTCTTATTGGCTGTGACTGTGTTTAAAGATCCTCAGTGACAGGGACTGCTATCTGTACAAGGTCCTCCGTTTCACTGTTAGATCACCTTCAGTGTAAGAAGAATTTTCCTTATATACAGCTAAAAGCTGTCTCAGTGTAATTTCCACATATGCTCTGTGGGAAAAAATACAGTGATTTTTCTTTTTGTATTAAAGATTTTTATTTTGAGGTAACTGTAGATTCACATGCAGTTGTAAAAAATAATGCAGAGAGATCCCTTGTACCATTGCCTGCTTTTTCCCAGTGGCAACTTCTTGCAAAACCACACTGCAGTATCACAAACAGGTTTTTGACATGGACCACAGAGAGAGGCAGAGTATTCCACCACCTCTAGCATCTCTCATATGTTGCCTTTTTATAGCCACACCCACTTCCTTTTTACCACTTCATTAACCCCTGGCAACCACTATTTATTCTCTATTTTTTATAATTTGGTCATGTCAAGGATGTTGTGTATAGATGGAGTTATATATAGTGTTGTGTCATTGGCTTTTTTCACTCAGCACAGTTCTCTGGAGATTCATCCTGGTTATGTTGTTGCATTTGTTAGCAGTTTGTTCCTTTTTAATTCCTTAGTAATGTTCCATGTTGTGGAGGTGCTGCAAATTGTTTACTGTTCACCCATGGAAGATCATCTGGGTTGTTACCAGTTTGGGGCTATTACAGGTTTTTGTATAGATTTTATACAAGTTGTTGTTATAAGTCTAATGTCTTCAGTCTTTGAAATAAATATGTAGGAGTGCAAGTGCTGGATCATGTGGTAGTTATAAGGGCTTCCTTGGTGACTCAGTGGTAAAGAATCTGCCTGCAGTGCAGGAGACGTGGGCCCCATCCCTGGGTTGGGAAGATCCCCTGGAGGAGTGCTTGGTAACCTACTCTAGGATCCTTGCCTGGAGAATCCCATGGACAGAGGAGCCTAGCAGGCTACAGCCCATGGGGTTGCAAAGAGTCGGACACGACTGAAGCGATTTATCATGCACGCTCACATGGTAGTTATGAGTTAACGTTTTTAAAGGAATTTCTAGGCTGCTTTGAGTGACTGCAACATTTTATATTTTCACCAGCACTGAGTGAATGATTCAGTGACTCTAAATCCCTGCCAGCATTTTCTGTGGTCACAGTTTTTTTTATTTTAGCTATTGTGATAGATAAGTAACGCTATCGTGGTTTTAATCCAGATTTCCTTAATTCCTAGTGATGTAACATGGCTTGCTTGACATCTGTGTCTTTTTGACAAAATGTGTCATTGTGTCTTTTGCTCAGATTCTAATTGTATTTTTTTCTTTTTAATTGTTAAGTTTTGAGTGTTCTTTTTATGTTTTTGAAACTGGTCCTTTCTTGGATATGTGGTTTTCATAGCTATTCTTCTGCTTCATAGCTTATCTTTTTTGTCATTTTAGCGGAATCTTCGGTTGCAGAAGTTTGACATTTTGAGGACATCAAATTTGTCAGTTTTCCCTTTTATGGATAGTATTTTGGTATCAGTTTCCCAGGTGGTGCAGTGCTAATGAATCCACCTGCCAAAGCAGGAGACACAAGAGATGCTGGCTTGATCCCTGGGTTGAGAAGATTCACTGGAGAAGGAAATGGCGACCCTCTCCAGTGTTCTTGCTTGGGAAATCCCATGGACAGAGGAGCCTGGCGGGCTATAGTTCATAGAGTCACAAAGAGTTGGACATGACTAAGCACACATATGCACACTTTTGGTGTCAAGTCTAAGAAATCTTTGTTTACCCTGGAGCCTGAGGATTTCCTCCTATCTTTTTCTTCTTTATGTTTTATAATTTTATATTTTGCATATAAGTCCCAAAGTGACAGAAGTAGCATAAAAAAGGCCTGAAACAAGAAATCACATCTCTCACACCTAGGCCAGTTATTTTTTCCCCTCCATGTTTTATAATTCAAGGATTTCAGTGAGTATTTTTCAGAAATCAGCATTTGCTGCTCTCATTTTAGCTGTAAAATGGGATAATAGCATAATAAACTCAAATCATGGTAGATTAAAAAATTAATTAGGGTTAATTGAGATAGTGCACTTGAAAAAAAAACATGTTACACTACAAAGTACTTTCTGTTCAAATAGTGGTTATTATTGTAAGCTTGGCTAGGTCTGTGAATGCTAACAGGCAGCTGTGTGTGCTTGCTGCTTTCTATTCATGGGAAATGTGTTTGTTTATATCATAGTATAGTATCTGTTTTTCCTTTTAGTGCCCATGTGGCCAAATTTTGAACTGCCATTTTAATAAGACTCAAACATATTTGAGAGGGTGGTTAGACTTAACGGTTTCCATGAAGTTGTTTTAATAGTTGTTTTTCAACAGATGGACAGCTTGCATTTGGCCTCATTTCTGTGACAGGGTGATGATTGAAGTTTTCAACAGATGGCATACGAATACTTGGGGAAACACCCTCCCAATATTAATTGTTGTAAAAAAAAGACTTTTAGCGTGCCAGGAAAATAATAGTCTGTATTCTCAAGTCCTTTGCCTATGCTATTGTAATTATAATTTAGATGATTTGGAAGTTTCCCTTTCTGGCACTGGGGTTTATTTTGTAAATGATTATCTATGTTAGAATGAGAGATGCCAGGAATACTCTGTTGTCAATTAGATGTTCAACATGGATATAGCATGAAATCCCTTTTGATTATCAATGAATGTACATAACTTCCTTTTACTGAGTCATTCTGCTTCAATGCTATACATAGGAAATCTAATGTTCCATAAAAATCACCCATCAGAGACTTATATGTTCTTTCTTAAAAATACTGTCTTCAAAGAAAAAAAATCACCAAACTAAGAATTTTCGGACATACACATCAATATGATGAACCCCCCCCAAACTTAAAAATTGTCTCCTTTCTGCCTTAAATTACTTTACACTGTTTTAGGATTCAAAAATGAAGAATCAGACAGTATGCAGGGCAATCTGAAGGGTGTTTGTGGTTGTCACAGTAACAAGGGGCATTTGCTGATATTTAGTGGGTATGTTGCTGAACCTCAATTTGGGTCCTCTTGCTTGACCTGCAACAGAGTCAATCTCCTGAAACTGGGGTGTGGTGAAGGAAAGTACAGCATTCACTGCATGGTGCCAAGTAAGAAGAATGGGCAGTTCATGCTGAAAAGAGCTGAACTCCCCAGTGGTTTTCAGAGAAGGGTGTTTAAAGGCAAGGTGAGGGAGGGGGCCACAGGCTGTGTGATCAGCTTATGCTCAGTTCTTATATTGGATAGTATCCATGTGAAGTTTCAAAGATGATTAACCTTGTCATTTCAACCATTTGGGAGTCTATATGCTTGCGGTCAGTAGTTTTCACTTGTAAAAACAATTGAGGAATGTGTCAGATCTTTGTCTGTGTCTTTCAGGGAACTAGGAGTTTGGTGACTCTACCATGTGGCTGATTTATAGTCTAAATTGTTATCAGTTTCCCCACTCAATAGCTATTCTTTGTTTCTACCTTTTCACATTTCCTAATCATTAACTCTTCTTTTAAATTCATTAACTTTTTTTTTGAATAGAAGTTATAACAAAAAAGTATTTGTGGGGAACATCCCGAAGCTTAGCTATTTAATTGAGACAGTTGAGACATATATACTACTTGTTGTGTGCCAACTACTTCTTTACTTATTTTAAATTTATTTTTATTTGAAGGATATTTGCCTTACAGTGTTGTGTTGGTTTATGCCATAGGCCTAATCAATAGCTCTTGAGCCAGCCTCTTGAGACTCAGGGGAGGTCTGGGAGACTAAAGCGAAAGACTTCTACTTCAAAGGATACTGACACAGGGAATTGTATATGGTTTCAGGCGGAGGCAAGTGTGCCTAGGTCTCTATAGCACAGTTCAGCACAAGGAAGAAAGGTCCTGTGTCTTACAGTATGCCTGGATAGCAGACTGGACACTCAGCTGAGCCTGGAACTTGTGTCTGCTTAAAACACAGAGTAAGTTTTGCAAGACAAGGTTTTTGCTTTTTTTTTTTTTTTCTTGGACAGAGTGTTAGTGACTACGCAAACCTCTTCTTTTTGATTTTACTATGTTGCTATATGAAAGGCTGAACGACTCTGATCTTCTACTTCTAAACCCTGACTTATATTATGTTTATTATAAGTACTTTATTATATTTTTGTGTATTCATGAACTGAGCATTTACATAGTAAAACAAATATTATTATAAATTTACTTCCCCTTTCTATTCCAAATAGGGCATCATATTAATTTTTGAAATCTTGTGTATAGATAAATTACATTATCCATGAATTTCTGGATTTAAAGAGAGAATTATGAAATGCTTATTATAACAAAGGAGCCCTGGGGTTAATCAGTATGAGAAGGATTGCTGTAGAAAATTAAGCAATAGTAGACAAATTCTTTCTCCACTTGCCTGTATGTGCACACATAATTCTGTGTTGGAATCATTCAAAGGACAGTGATGTGAGTCTAAATATTTAATAAGGTATGCAATCCCAATAAAGTCTGTATTGTTATGTTTCTATAGAAGCCTTGAACTGATTTTCTTTTGGCGAGTCATATCAGCTAGATCTTGGTGTCTGTCATTGCAGATGGCATTGAATGATTGCTTTAGTTTGAGCTATCCTGGCAATCCTCAGCCAGGGGATTTGATTGAAGTGTTTCGTCCTGGTTATCAACATTGGGCACTGTACTTGGGTGATGGGTATGTTATCAACATAGCACCTCTAGGTAAGTTTTGCTTTCTGAAGTTCCTGGGAGTTTTTTAGCTTTCTTGCTACAAGAAGTAATCATGAACAAAAATCATAAAATAAAACAAACCAGAAATACAATGCACAAAGTAGGTAAATCCAGCTGATCTAGATTTTTGGAAGGATATTCTAAGACATCCTGGAGTGTGAAGTCAAGTAGGCCTTAGGAAGCATTACTGCGAACAAAGCCAGTGGAGGTGATGGAATTCCAGCTGAGCTTTTTCAAATCTTAAAAGATGATAGTGTGAAAGTGCTGCACTCAATATGCCGGCAAATTTGGAAAACTCAGCAATGGCCACAGGACTGGAAAAATTAAGTTTTCATTCCAATCCCAAAGAAGGGCAATGCCCAAGAGTGTTCAAACTACCGTACAATTCATTCATTTCACATGCTAGCAAGATTATGCTGAAATCCTTCAAGCTAGGCTTCAGCAGTAAGTGAACTAAGAACTTCCAGATATACAGCTGGATTTAGAAAAGGCAGAGGAACCAGAGATCAAATTGCTAACATCCATTGATCATAGAGAAAGCAAGGGAATTCTAGAAAAACATCTACTTCTGCTTCATTGACTACACTAGAGCCTTTGACTGTGGACCACAACAAACTGGAAAATTCTTAAAGAAATGGGAATACTAGACCACCTTACCTATCTCCTGAGAAGCCTGTATGCTGTATAAGTCAAGAAGCAGTAGTCCGAACTGGACATGAAACAATGGACTGGTTCAGAACTGGGAAAGGAGTACATCAAGGCTGTATATTGTCATCCTGCTTATTTAACTTATATGCAGAGTACATCATGTGAAATACTCGAAGATAGTGAAGGACAGGGAAGGCTGGTGTGCTGTAAAAAAAAAGTTGGACACGAGTTAGTGACTGGACAACAATGAACAATTCTAAGGCTAAAGTGGCATTGAAGAAATCACAAAAGCCAAGTGACATTAAGGTTTTAAACTTATGGATTAAAAACAATTAAAAAGTAAATAATCAACTGGGGAAAATATTTGCCACAAATGTGACAAGAGTCAGTGTCTTTATGTATAATACAAACATTATTTCAATCACTTAACATCTATTTATAGATTTTTCTGGTATGTGCCAAATATTATTCAAATGCTAGGGATACATAAGCCAGTCGCTCCACAGTGGAACTTACATTCTAGTGGACAGAGAGAGAGAGAGACAGAGAGAGAGGAGACAGCCTGAGAGAGGGAGTATGAACAGAATACAGAAAGCAGTGTTAGATTAGAGCTGAGTGATACGGAGAAAATAAATCATAGCAGCAGGATAGGAAGTGCTGGGGAGTTGTAGCTGCTGCAGTTTGAAATTAGCTGGTCAGGAAAATCTCATGAGAAATAACATTTGAGACAACTTGAAAGAGGTGAGGAAACCCAGCACATGATATTTGGGGCAAGAGTTTCTTCATCTGAGGGAATAGTGAATACTCAAATCCCAACAAACAAATGGGTAAAAGATTGTGAACAGTTTGTAGAAGATGAAACTCCAATACCCGTTTTTAAAGCATTCAGCTTTTCAGTCATCTAGGAATTATAAAATGATAGATTTTATGCCTCTCACATTAGCAGAATTAAAAAAAATGAAAATCAGTATTGATAAAGGTATAATGAAATGAACACAGGATATTGTTGATAGAAATACAAGTTGATAAAATCATTCCCCAAAACAGTTTAGCAAGATGTTTTAAGAGTCTTGAGCTTCCCTGGTGGCTGAGTGGTAAAGAATCTGCCTAATGCAGGAACTGCAGGAGACATGGTTTTGATCCCTGGGTCGGGAATATCCCGTGGAGGAGAGCATGGCCACCCACTCCAGTCTTCTTGCCTGGAGAACTCCATGGACAGAGGAGCCTGGTGGGCTACAGTCCATGGGATTGCAGAGTTGGACATGACTAAAGTGACTTGGCATGCACACATGTTCAGAGTCTTAAAAGAGTTTCCATGCTCTGACCCTGTAATTTTACCTCTATGAATCTATTCTTGGGGAATATTTTTAGAGAACTTATTTAGTATTTGTGTATGAAAGTGTTCACTGCTATCTCATTTATAATGGTTTAAGAAAAGGACAATGGGAAAAAAATAGGGAAAAGAAATAAGTAACTGTTGATTTTTTATGGTGGGTAAAAAAATTAGACAATGGATTAATAAAATTAAAAAGGTAATGATTAAATGAATTACAATTTAGCCACAGATATTAGGATTCTGTGTTTGATAGAACTTTTTAGTTGCAAGTAACATAAATTAGTTTAGACAAAAGGCAAATTCATTGCTTCACTGAAGGAAACTGCCGGAAGGGTAGAGATGATACTGGTTTCAGGGATACCTGGATCTAGAAGTTTACACACTATCAAAACTCTTTGTCCCACATCTGCATTCTTTTTGTATATATTTTATTTATTTTCTCAGGCTAAGTCTAAGAAGCTGAATTGATGACCGTAGGCATCCTTAGGCTCACATCCTTATAGGCTGGTGACCTGCAGGAGAGAGAGACTTCCTGTCTGCTGAAGTTAGAAAAATCATGGAGAATGACTCTCGATTGTCTGGTGTGGGTCACCTGTCCATTACTGAACCATCACTATGTCCCAGAATAGGACAGTATGACTGGCTTAGACAGAGTCTTTTCTAGAAAGAAAGAAGTAGTGGTAAGATGAGGTGCTAAGCAGACTGAAACAGTGGCCACTTTAACAGCTGAAAGTCATTTCTAGATATCTTTAATAGCATGAAAGATGGTCTTGTATGATAACCATTGGCAAATTACAGATTAAAAATGCAATGTGTAATATGGTACCAAGTTTGTAAAGAATTCATATATACACACATACATGTTAATGCAAACACATAAATGTGTATTTGCAAGTGATAAAGACAGTATAAATACATTAAAATAATAATGATAGTTATTTCTGGCAGGACAGCAGGTGATTTATATTTAGTGTTTATGCTGTATTTTTCTGTATGTTCTACATGTTTAGAAATGAGTACAAGCTATTAAGAAAAATGTATGCAAATAACAACCTAGAATATTTCTCCCCTCAAGATACCTTTAAAAAGAAGTGTTTACAGGCTGAAGTTTTACTATCTTGAGAGCTTCTGAGAACTTGTAATGAAGTGATTTTTGTGAGATTTTGAGCTATTTGGCACTTGTTTTGGAATATTGGCAATGGAAATGGCAAATAAAATGACATTTACGATACAGAGCTATTCATTCTGTGGCGTCTAGTGGTTAATACTAAGGAATTCTTTATATTATCTCTGCAGCTTTCACATTTAGAAAACAACATGAGGCTTTTGCACTGTTTCCTTTTTTTCACGTCTTAAGCTCCATACTAATATGGTTCAAGCACTGAGCTTTGATCCTGTAGACTGAAATTAAATTCCTGTTTCTGTTAACTACTTGTGTGATGTTCCACAAGCCAGTTTCTCTCTCCAAGCTTTGATTTTGTCATCAATAAATTGATTTCTTCAAACTAGTTGATGAGTAATTCTAACTAGGATATTTGTGTTCTGTGAACTTGTACTGTGTAAGTACAAGTTGGTATTAATTGTAATTAATTGGTATTAATGTAAGGTATTAATTGAAAATGCTATTCCGCTGAAAAGGAGTTCAAAGGAGTGAAAAAAAAGAGGAGTAGGAAAAACCGTGTGCTTTTAGTCATTAATGAAAGGAAAAGTGTCTAAACATTGGTTATATAGCAGTCCTTCATCTCATGGTTTACTTGAACAATGGCCAAGCATAGCAATGTTGGGCAGACAGAGAGGGCCTAGGGCCTGGTCTTAAAGCTGAACACTAAGGAAGCACTTTTCCAGTCTCAGATGACAACGATGGCAAGTCAGGATACAGAGATTTTGGGCTGTTTAGGCAAATGCTTACCAATAGAGGCAGTAAGGTGGAGTGGTGGGGCACAGGGCATTGTAACAGGTGGGTGGAGCACAACAAAGGACCACATAGAGGTGGATAGTGCTTACTGCATTAGGTTTCGTTTCAGGACTTAGTTTCTTGGCTAAAGGAACTAGCAAAATAAAGACAGGGCCCCAGCTGATCCCAGCTGACTCTGTCAAATTCATAGGGTCCCCTGCAGATTTCAAAATAAAGCCTGATTAAAACAAGTGTGAAAGTAGAGAGGTGGCTGTAAGAAGTGCAGCTTAGTTGTAAGAGGAGAGCATCAATCTAAACATTCTGCTGCTAAGTCCAGCGTACTAGTTTAGAAGGGTTCTAATGCCAAAAAACAGGGGCTTTATAGAAAAAGGGGGCAGTGATCTTCTCTGTACTATGTTAGAAACATATGCCAAGATCCCTAATAATAATACTAATTGATAGAGAACTTATTCCTCAAGAATGAGTAGATTTTTCACACTCAGTTTGTTCTATTTATTGTTGTTTAGTCGCTCAGTCATGTCCAACGCTTTTGCAACCCCATGGACGATAACCCACCAGGCTCCTCTGTCAATGGGATTTCCCAGGCAAGAATACTGGAGTGGGTTGCCATGCCCTGCTCCAGGGGATCTTCCCGACCCAGGGATCGAGCTCTCATCTCTTATGTCTCCTGCATTGACAGGCAGATTCTTTACTGCTGAACCACCAGGGAATCCCAATGGGGAGATAAATATTTTCAACAAGTTTTCTTATATTCTCACTCTTACAGTACTGAATAAGTGTTATTGATAAATTAGAGAATGAGTGTTGATGGTTAGTAAGATTAAGTGGTTTCTGGTTTGAGGATAAGTTAGGATGGCATTGGAATTCACTGGGCTGGATTGCTGTGTTTTGCTAACCAGAATTCTCCTTATAGAGGATGGCATTTCCGCATCGTTTACAAGTGCCAAGTCTGTATTCAGCAGAAAGGCCCTGGTGAAGATGCAGCTTTTGAAGGATGTTGTTGGAAAAGACACATACAGAATAAATAATAAATATGATGATACATACCCCCCTCTCCCTGTTGAAGAAGTTATCCAACGATCAGAGTTTGTTATTGGGCAAGAGGTGGAATATGACATCCTTGTCAACAACTGTGAGCATTTTGTGACTTTGCTTCGATACGGAGAAGGAGTTTCAGAGCAGGTGAGTTTTCTTTAGGAGAAATAAAAGTTTTTTAGATTGGGAAGATAATAACTATCCAGTGTTGATCACGTTTTCAGGCCTCAAACAAATGGAAAAGAACAAGAATATATGAGAACACTGAAGGACAAAGAAGGAAATTGAGTTACCCAAGGTCACTCAGAAAGTTCATGACCAAACAGACTAGAACATTTTGTGTCATGAATCTGGGGCTAGAAGGGACTTGAAGCAGAGTCAAGACCATGGCTTTCTGTCTGTCTTAATGCCCCATGTCCTTCAGTGGTTTTTTTTTTTTTTTTTTCATTACCCTAAGATACAGCAGTTAAATCAGTAACTATATATATTGAAAAGAATGTTGACTTTTTTGAGTGGGAGCTCCTTTGGCCAAAAACATAGATGGTAGTACTGAGATTCTTTTCCATTAACTGAAAGAGGCTAACTGACACCATGGATTTGTAAATGTCTTCAATTTCCTTGCAACACTAATTTCAAAGAAATGTTGTGCTTTAAAGTGGATCCTTTGATTCATTGAGCTTTTGGATGATTTTTTAGTGGATTAATCGACTTTATTTTTAAAGTAGCTTATAGTTTTGTTGTTTACCACCACTGTTCGGTAGTGTAGCAGATTCCTCACTGAAAGCAAGCTTGATTCAGTTGCCCTTTCCCTAGTTACCTTCCCACCAGTTCAACTGCATCATTGATATTTTAACCCAAAGATTTATTAAAGTGAATATATAAAGGCTCCCAGTATCTTGAAATGGTGGATCTGTTGTACAAATGTCTATTCTAAGGATTGAAATTATAACTCTGTTCATGAAAGCTTGGAAGAATGGAAAATGGAACATAATAAAAGGATACATTTGTTTTTATTAAGAAATAATTTAATTGGAAGTTCATTTTTACTGGGAAATACATTACTATAATGAACTATACACATATAGCAATAAATTGTTTCTGAACCAAAACACAGAGGATATAGACATAAATATCTGCTCATTTTTGCATTGAAAAGTAGTGGTATAGCTAGGAAATAGTTTGTTAATGATAAAGTTATCCACAGTACACAATCAGCAATTTTTTAAAATGTGGCTCAATCAAAAGATATTACAGGTCTCTTTTTGCTCTGACTCTCACTTGTACTCTATCGTCTTTTCACCTTTCATACCCAGATCAAGATCCATGAAAAAGTGGCTATCTTTCAGGAACTAGTAGAACTCCTCTCTGGCAGGTTCTGATGGGTGTAGTAACAGCCTTAAAGACACATCTGAGCTTTGAAATTCTGCTGATCTGAGCTAGAACCCCATCTTCACCACTTCTAACCTGGATAACTTTGGACACGTTTATCAGTTTCCTAATCTATCAAAGTTGTTTCATAGATTGTAGGAGATTTTTAAAGTCTTTTAGCATGTTTTATTAAATATTGTTCATCCCAATGAAAGATATACTTCCATCAATATTACTTTTTATTTTAGCAATTTTATAGATCTTTGTTGATACTCTTCAGTAATATTCTGTTGATCTAACAGAAACTGCAGCATTTGAATTATCATTTTTATTACTATCAATAATAGTATTAGTACTAATAATAGCTAATATTAGATTTGTTTCTGGGGTCCCTTTAAGGCTCAGGGATCTTGAGCATAGAACAATTTCCTTGGGAAATGGCTGTGTATTTACAGTTCAGTTCAGTCGCTCAGTCATGTCCAACTCTTTGTGACCCCATGAATCGCAGCATGCCAGGCCTCCCTGTCCATCACTAACTCCAGAGCCTACCCAAACTCATGTCCATTGAGTCGGTGATGCCATCCAACCATCTCATCCTCTGTTGTCTCCTTCTCCTCCTGCCCTCAATCTTTCTCAGCATCAAGGTCTTTTCAAATGAGTCAGCTCTTTGCATCGGGTGGCCAAAGTATTGGAGTTTCAGCTTCAGCATCAGTCCTTCCAATGAACTCCCAGGATTGATCTCCTTTAGGATGGACTAGTTGGATCTCCTTGCAGTCCAAGGGACTCTCAAGAGTCTTCTCCAACACCACAGTTCAAAAGCATCAATCCTTCTGCATTCAGCTTTCTTTATAATGCAACTCTCACATCCATACATGACTACTGGAAAAACCATAACCTTGACTAGATGGACCTTTGTTGGCAAAGTAATGTCTCTGCTTTTTGATATGCTGTCTAGGTTGGTCATAACTTTCCTTCCAAGGAGTAAGCCTCTTTTAATTTCATGGCTGCAGTCACCATCTGCAGTGATTTTGGAGCCCAAAAAAATAAAGTCTCTCACTGTTTCCACTGTTTCCCCATCTATTTCCCAGTTAAACAAAAAATGGTAAATGATAAAAAGATTGGAAAGGTGGAAGGATTGTGGGTCCTATCCTTTTCTTTGTACTTTGCTGTATTTTTGAAAAAACTAATGGACTTTGCTTTTTCGAGTTTTAAGTTCACAGCAACATTGAGCTGGAAGTATATACAGAATTCCCACATATTCTCTACCCCCCCACCCTGACACACACACACACATCCTTCCCCACTGTTAGCATCCTATAGCAGTGTGGATTATTTGTTATAAAAGATGAGCCAACAATGATGATACATCATTATCAACCAGAGTTCATACTGAAGGAAACCGGAGTATACCACCCCAAATATGTTACTTTGGCATAAGGATTATTTTGAGCAATTGAGAAGCACTTGAGTGGGAACAGAAAGAAATAAAGCTCCCTGCCCTCCCCCTATTTTTCTAAAAGTAGGGCAGAAATTTTCAAAGGTGTCCCCCCTCCCCATTCTACCAGGAAGAACAAAAGGTAATCATCCGGGATGACCCGTGTTTAATATAAGACCCTTAGCAGCCTGGAGAGGGCAATAGAGGAACCTACTTAACAAACTACTTACAGGCTTTTATCTACCATTAGTTTCCTACCTTCCCACCGGTTGTTGCCCTTGGAAGACGAACCACTTTCCCCTCACTTCTCTACAAATTTATTTTTCTTTGGTGAAGATGCTCTATAAGTCTGAATTCTAAGCCACCTCTTTGAGTTACTTCTTCCCTGGGTTTCTCCCATGAGTGTATGAGATGTGCATGTTAACCAACTTCTGTTCATTTTCCTCTTGTTAATTTATCTTTTATTACAGAGCCTCAGCCAAGAACTTAAGATGGTAAAGAAAGAGTTTTCTTCTCCTCGAATAGTTAACGTTAGGGTTCACTCTGCGTTGTACATTTTGTGTGTTTTGACAAATCGATAATTACATGTATCTGTCATTACAATATCATACAATATCATACAGCCCTGAAAATCTCTATTCTCTGCCTATCATTCATTCCTCCCTCTGCATAAACCTCTGATAATCACTTTTTTTTTTTTTTTTACTGCCCCATGTTTTATCTTTCCCGGAATGTCATATAGTTGAAATCATACAAAGCAAAATGCACTTAAAATTCTTCCATGTCTTTTCATTAGATGGTTTGATTGCTCATTTCTGTTTATCACTGAATAATATTCCATTTTCTGGATGCACTACAGTTTATTTATCCACTAACCTACTAAAGGATATCTTGATTGCTTCCAAGTTGTGGTGATTATGAATAAAGTTGCTAGAAACATTTGTGTGCAGCTTTTTTGTGGATGTAAATTTTTGACTCATTTGGATCAACACCAAGGATTATGATTGCCAGATCATATGGTAAGAGTATGTTTAGTTTTGTTAAAAGAAAAAAAAAAAAAACTGCCAAGCTAGCCTCCCAAGCGGCTGTACTATTTTGAATTCCCACCGGTAAAGAATGAGAGTTCCTGTTGCTCCACGTATTCTTTAGCATTTGGCATTGTCAGTGTTTTGGAGGTCAGCCGTTCTGATAGGTACATAGTGATATCACCGTTGTTTTAATTTGCAATTCCTTAAATATGTATGATGTTGACCATCTTTTCATATATTATTTGCTATCTGCATATCATATTTGGTGATGTGTCTCAAACTCTTGTGCCCATTTTTAATTGGGTTGCTTACTTGTTTTCATATTTTTGCGTTTTAAGAGTTCTTAGCATATTTTGGAAAATAGTCCTTTATCAAATATGTCTTTTGCAAATGTTTTCTTCCAGCCTGTGGCTTGTCTTTATTTTTATAAATTCCTAAAATCAACATTTCTCACTGTTAAGAGTCTAAGCAAGTTACTAAAATATGCCTGTCTTTGTGAACTATGGCAGCACCCTTGAATGTGCCCATATGAGCTGACACAGTACACCCTGACTGTGCTTCATTGCAGCACTGTAGCCTTAGAGTCTTGGGGGAAGACAGATTTTTGATAACCACTGTAGTTGGCTGTGACCCAGCTTCACTGATACCTGGACCCAGCTGCTTCATTTGTAGCTAACATTTTACTGGGCATGTATAGATCCTCAGAATGAGGTCTTTATCATGCCTGCCCCCCATCCCACACACACACCTGAAAGCCCTGTATAGGACAAAGTGTGCAGGATAGGATTTGGTGTTCTAAATCAGTCGCGAAGTAAAAGTTCTTGTTGATGCTGGGTCACCACAGACATCCTGGGATTTTTTTAATCTTGCAGATTGATCCTGTTACACGTAACTCTAGGGGATTGTCCAGAAGTTACGTGGGATTTTTCTATTTAGAATGCAACTTGAAAATAAGTGTTTGGGATTTGGGGAACTGCACACTGGAAGTGGTTTATTATAATTGTATCTTGCCTGTGCAGTCTCAGGGAATTTTGATTCAGGATTGACTTGTCTGTCCTCTCCCCAGGTCTCTTAGATATATGAGATTTCTCTCACCTGTTCTGTTTCTAGTGGCTGAAAGACATCCCGTGAGTTAGGAGTGCATCTAGCTGTCCCCCTCCCCCCACAGGATCCTGCAGGTTTTCCCAGGGCTGTCTCCTGCTGCCATTTGACACCTCTGTTTACAGACACCAATTACACCTTCCAATTTTTTCACTGTCTGCCACTTTTCCTATGTCAGACCTCCTTGGGATCTCAGTATCTGCCTGGAATTGCATCAGGTTTGGGCTTGGTTTGCAATCCTTGATCTCTGTCTGATTATTGGTTCTGCCCCTTTTTGGAATTCTGCCAGGTATCTTGTATCTCCCACCCCATTTTTGCTCCCTCTGTGCTCTGTGGGTAGTTCTCTGCTACAGTGAATTCTGCTTGGAAACAATTTAGGTAGCAACTAATTAAGAATTACAAATAAAAGAAATAGCCAACCAACCAAATACATAAAATTAGAATTGTAAACTAAAATGGGATTTTTCAATTGTTTGCCAATGTCATTCTCCCTGGCAACTAGGGATGGTGGCAGAGCAGAGAGTTACAATTATAGGCCATGTCCCTGCAGACCACAGGATGGTGTAATGAAGTGAATACTCTTATCTTTGTGCTGCTTTTCCTGGCCAGAGCCCTTGCTGCGTGTTCCCCACAGGGAAGCAGTTAGGAAGGGAGCATTATGTTGCATATGGGGGTGGCAGGCTCGGTGGTGGAGGGCTATGGGTTAGACGGAGGACATGCTCCAGAGTTAGCTGGGTCAGGTTTTTCAGCATTTGGGCTGGTCCCCAGAGTCGTTTAGGAAAAATGTTTTGCTTTATTTGACAGCCTGATTCTTAACTCTTAGAAAACAACTCTTGTTTTCTAAATACCTGATGACACTGAAGTATCTGAATGTGACCTTTGGGTCATAAAATTGCACTCAAACCCTTGCAGATGGAAGGTAATATTAGTTGAGTGCCATGCAACCATGAATATTCATCAGTTCCCTCATCATGATGATGATTAATACCCTTAAAGCTATAAATGTCTGAACTCCTTTATGGACAATTAAACTTGAGAGTGATTTATTTTTGTTTGTCTACATGAGAAATTAATTTTTGCCATAATAGTTAACATTAGTATTGACTTATCTTGAAGTTTGTTTATTGGAATAGAAAGTGTATCTACCAAGTAAGTGTATGGTATTTAGCTCAAATCACATTCCTGAATTGTTTTCCTAACAACTTTAATTTAGGGAACACATACACACGTGCACACACACATGTCCATCCAAATACTATCATCTTTTTAATAGACTTCTTGAATGAGGACTCCTGCTTTCTTATCTTGTCTACACTCCCTCGACCAATACACACACATCACACACACACACTATTCACCTTTGTATAGACCCAGCCAAATGAGTATGTGCTTAGGAGTAGGGTTGTATAGGGGGAGAATACATGACTAAACTATATCTAAACACCCTGGTGCTATTACCTCCCTTGGGCAAATAACTTTTAACTTCTCAAATTGTATAAAACAGTAATGCTATACTGCCCAGGTGTACCATGATGATTATTAGGAATTGTGGCATAATCAGTTTATGAACTGTCAGAGGCTATAAAAATAGGACTGTATAACTATGTGTGTTTATATCTTTGTCATAATAATTATAAATTTCATCTTTGTACAAAATTTTAATTTTGCATTCAGCTTTAAGTTCATCCGTTGTACATTAAAATGAGTCTCTGATTTAGGAAGCAAGCTAAAGCTGAAGTTTACGACACTAAAATGCTTTTAGAATAAGATGTGTTTTTGATTCCTTTTTCCACATAGGCCAGCCGAGCGATAAGTACCATTGGGTTTGTGACAGCTGCTGCTGGTGCCTTCTCCTTGCTGGGCTTGTTTCCAAAAAGACTAAGAGCAAAATTCTATTAATTTACTGAAGAGATATTGGAGCTGAAGGAATTTGTGAGGAAGAAAAGTAACCTGAGATGAATACTTATTTTCAATGCATCATTATTGTTCCAAATTCCAGTGATGGATGGCAGACTCTTTAATAAATTGCCTACTGATATTATCTCATCATTGAGCCATGGAAATTTTTCTACCTTAGTCGTGTAGATTCATGTGGTAGCTTGAACAAGAAGCAGTGGCCTTTTGAATGAACCAGCAGCAGATCTTAATATCACATCATTGTTTATCTTTTTTCTTCTATAAATATTGTTTTTCTTTCCCCTGAGGGTAACTATTTTGATGAAGAACCTTTTATATGTGACCAAAAAAAAATGTTAAAAACCCTTAATTATTTGGATTGGTATCAAAATTCATATTCCTTTTCTGGTGAGAGAAGAAATTTAGAAATAAAGCATTTGGTTAGGCAGCTTAAGAATCTTTTATTAATAAACCATCTGAGAGTGGATACTCATCTCCTTGCCCCTGTGTGGGTGTGAGCAGGAGGTGAATGGGAGAAGCAGCTCTTGGTTCCAGTGTTTTGGATCCGGTGATTTCCCTGGAAGCAACTCCTTTGTCAGGAGTATGTGACAAGCAGGAATGGGCTGTTGCTTCTACAGAGTTCCATTGTTCCCTTTGGACTTTGAAGTATTTGAAGAGTTTGGCCCTATACACCTGAGTAAGACATCATTAAACATAGGTTTAAGGTGCCATATTTAGAAAACAATATCCTGTATTACTTTTTATGGCTTTTACTAGAAGTCAAGGAGTGTGGCTCAGACTGTGAAGCAGCTGCCTGCAATACAGGAGAGTTGGGTTTGATCCCTGGGTTGGGAAGATCCCCTGGAGAATGCAGTGGCTACCTACTTCATTATTTTTGCCTGGAGAATTCCATGGATGGAGGAACCTGGTGGGCCACAGTCCGTGGGGTCCCAAAGAGTTGGACATGACTGAATGACTAACACTTTTACTTTTCCATCAGGAAGAGACTCATTTTATTCTTGGGTTTTATTAATTATGTGTTGGATGAAACAAACTACTTTTTTTTTTACAAATTACTTTTTAATACTTTTCCAGTGGAATTCTTGTTGGTAGTAGATGGGGAAAAATGGACGACAGTCTCTCTATCCTGGGATTATATCAGATATTATAACATTACCCTACAAACCACATTGCTAGTCAGTGACATCTTTATTGTTTCACAGCTAAAAGCATGGCATTAAATAAAGGAAAAGTTTAAGTAAATATGGGGGATTGTGGTGCAGAGAGGCAAACAAAAATATGGTAGATAAAGGTAACAAAACAGCTGCCTCAAAGTCTTTGACTTAGTAAACTGATTTGATTTTACTCGTGGGCCAGAAAGTCTTTATAATCTAACTGTAGGATTAAGAACAATGATAACAAAGGGTCAAGTGCTTCCATCAGGGCCCATAGAGACCCTGTCTTTCTTCCTGTTCCCTGACTAATCCCTTCCCTTTCTATGGCACCAATTCTGTTTCCAGGTAAACCCCAAAACACTCTCTTCCTCCCCTGTTCCTCTGGTAACAGTAAGTGTCTTGTGATAGCGTGGTCCAAAATTTTCCTTTCATTTTTATTCTAAATTCAATTTCTTATTCCTATTATGTCCTACTCTCAAGTAACAGTAACATGAATAAAGAAAAAAAACGGGCTCTTTCCTAGTATTGTCAGGTCTGGGCAGAACTGGCAGCAGCTGTATGTGTTACGTCCCCCAGGATATGCTTGCTTTTTGGTAAAGATGACTACAGAGGACAGATCTTAGCCTTGAACAGCAGACCTGGGTGTGGTGGAATTGCCACACTGCCTGTGACGGAGGGAATGGAATTGGCAACACAGAAGATATTTTGAGGATCATTAAATCAAACTTCTGGATGACTCTGGACACGCCCACTTCAGAAGACAATCTTAACAATACTGAGTAATTGTCACAAATGCACTGTTAAATTCATGGGTTCATTTTTTCACAAGTAGTGTTCAGGGTTCTAGTAATGCTCAGCCTTAAAGGTAAGCACACAAAGTTAGTCATCAGTTTCCTCCCAAAATGGCCACTCTTGGTGAAGGGCAGCTTCAGCCTGTCCATTTATATGTGGCCCTGTTCATTGTGCTTTTATTGAACATCTTTTTCCAAGCCTAGTAGACATTTCTCTGAGTGTATTTTTAGTGGATTAGACTAGATTAAATCAAAGTCTAGTGTAGAGACCAAATTTATCATGTCCCATCCCCCCTTCAAAAAGATGTGTGACATAAAGATACCACCTATCAGATACCTAATAGATTGTTGAAGAAACTGAAAGAAGCTAAACATTTATTGAAAAAAGATTAAAAAAATATTTTTATGCTATCTAGATATACTAGAGTATCAATTGAATCCTCTCATTCTAAAAGTCAAATTACTAAATAGAGATAATGTCAGCTCAAGGAACCTGAGCTGCCATATGTTTTAGGTTGACATATTTCTTAATCTTTAGCTAAAAATATTTTTGATATTTTGTTCTTTATTGGTATCCACTAAATTAGACACATTTAAAAATTTTCACTCTCCAAGAGCTGTGCATCCAAGAAAAGGTTAAAAAGCAAATATAAGTATAAAATGCTTGTTTTCATTGCTGGCTTGTGTAACAAAGTGTATGGTACTATTTACAGCAATGAATTGCTAGAATGTTGAGACATTTTTTCAGTCCTAAAGATCTCATAATTGTAAAGACATGACTGAATCCACAGATCACAGTACTAGGCATGTAACTGACACTCATGGAATGGGACTGGTTGGCTAATTGCCTATGACTCATTAAAGATCCATTTAATTAGCAAAGTTAGATTTATGGTTACAAGGAAAATGTAGCAGGTAATTTAAAATGTTCACTAGGAATAAATACCTCTCAAGGTCACAGTGAGGTTGATATATGTTAAAGCTAATGATGTGCAGAATGTATTTGTAAAGGATGTACCCTTTCTTGTGGTCCTTAATGTGCACCTAATAATTGATTTAGATTATGAAAAGATGAAATGGAACTTAAGATTGTTTAATATTTTGAGAATTGTCATGCTGTAGATAAAAACATTATGGGTTCCTTCCCTGGGATTGCTTTTTTTCAGATGAGCAATGATGAGTCTAGGCCAACTTTTAGAGCTGGAACTTGAGATTTTTCTTTGTCAGTAAGAAAAAGCAAATAAAGGTACCATACTTCTTAAGAGTGAAAAGTACATTTTAACAGTTTCATTATTTTTGTGATCTAATCTGGAACCTCTAGCTCACTAGCCCCAAAGCAATATACTTTGGGAGATGCCAATTTCAATAGAGTTTGCTTAGCTGTGCCCAAGCTAAGAGTATAAACAATTATCAGACACCTCCATCTTTCTCCACTTCCACACTTTAAGAACAGGGATGAATTTTCTGAAGTAAATTTCAATTCTTGTTTCTCTATTAAAACTATATAAAGAACCAAAAACAAGAATTCTGTGACCTGGATAAAAGATATATATATAGATATTCTTTGCAAGTGAATATAAGATTAAGTAAATGTGTGACAAGTTATTGAGAGAAGCTTTTTTAATGTATAGATTCATTTATTTCAGTAGATGAAAATAAAAATACATTCGTGAAACTTTCAAAATTGAACTCTCCTTTAATTTTTCTTTCTTCTATTGATGTTCATACTATTAATTTTACTACCATAAAGAGCTGTGCCTTTGAAGCAGGTCACTGCTATGCATTGTGAATAAAATTTGTTAGAAAAAAAATGATACTTTAGAAAATGCATTATTTTTCTTAATGATAGAGGATGAGGTCAAAGTAAACATATGTAAAGTCCTTTGTTGCAAGGTTCAATGCACTGAGAAATGCACTTTGAATCTTCAGACGGAGGAAGAAAATAAAAGGGTAGACTATTATCACCTCTCTACAGTGTTTTAGATTCTGGTAAAAGGAGGATGCTATTTAACAATTCTGATTACAATCTGGTCCAGAAATGCTGTTCTGTGGTTTGGCCTCCCAAATTAAGTTTTTCTTTTGGAATCTGTTCAGAGCTTTCATAGCCTTGGTTGATGTAGAATCCATTTCTGCCATCGCCTGAATAATCTGTCCTGTTTGTAGGAGGCCAGCTTGGGTCTTTTGCCAGTTTTCTTTGCCAGATCCTATATTGACTTTTAGAATAGATTCCAAGTTCTTTCTTGATCAATAGCCAGAGTGCTCGATTTTGAAGGATGGCATCCTGGAAAATCAGGTGGAAAAGACAAGCAAACCATCACCTATTTTCCCTGGCAGCCAGGTTGCTCATTGCTACCCTGTTCCCCCAGGCCTCCTTTAAATGTGCTTACTATTTATGCTCAGTGGCCACTTCTCCTGGCAGCCCCACGAAGCCTAGCAGCTTCCTGGGTTCATTTCCTTGAGAACTGAGTGAGCTTGTGTTCATAGAAATCTGCCAAAGGCTTACAGTCTTTCATTTCCACAGATTTCCTAGTTTAATTCTGGCAGGAGAGTCACTTAGAATTATTTTACTGCCAGAATGAAATAGCAAAATAATGTACTCAAAATCAAGAAAAGAAAAAAAAAAAATCACTGTTACTTGCTCCTTGCTACAAAGAAGGCATCAAGTAATGGTTTGTTGAATGAATGAATGAACTCTAAAAATCAAATGGGTTTTCCTTTCCATTTTTTGTTGTTGTTTAGTCACTAAGTTCTGTTCGACTGTTTTGCAACCCCATGGACTATAGGCTCTGCCAGTCTCCTCTGTCCATGGAATTTCCCAGGCAAGAATGCTGGAGTGGGTTGGTATTTCCTACTCCAGGGGATCTTCCCAACCTAGGGATCAAACCCATGTCTCCTGCATTGGCAGGCAGATTCTTTACCACTGAGTCACCAGGGAAGCCCTTTGCTTTCCATTTTGGAGGTTCTCTTCTTTCTACGATTACAAGCACACACAATTTTATGCATTTATAGTAATAGAAGTGATCAAATATTTTATTCCACTTTGTCATAGACAGTTTGTAGCTACCATCTTCTCAATAATCATATGACTGTATAACATTTACTCAAATTTCTATATTACTATTTAACAGCACCTCTACTTTTGGAACACTTGATTCTAATATTTTATCACTGTAGATAATACTGTGATGAAAATCTTCATACATGTAAATTTTTCTCTCTTTTTAAGTTATTTTTTAAATGAAGTTTCAGAAATCAATTCCTTAAGAGTATGAGAAACTTTACATGCATTGTATACAATGGAATATTTGTATATACACATATTTTTTTCTTAATTTGGTTGATACCTTTTCTCAAGGAACTTCCTGAATCTTTTCTTTAAAACTTTCCCTTAAAAAATAGTACCTGAGCTTTTCACTGAGAAGGTAAATTCATTTAATGACACTGAGTAGAAGAGAAATGCTATAGAAGACGTTCAAGGGTAAGAATTGACTAGAATGAGCAATGGCTTCCCTTTTGTCTTAATTAAGGAAGCCCTCCTAGACAGTTTTTCACTCTAAAAGGTCTCATTGAATTTTAGAGCTGGGAGGTCATTTGATCTAGACTCTACCAGATTAGTAAGACTACTAGGAAAGTACAATATAAGGCCTTCATGTGAGGCAAAATTAGCTAATTTGATGTTTTGCTTCCTACGCTGCAGATACCGAGAGCATTTCTATGCAGCCTTCAAAGAATTTTAAATCATTTTCATTTCCCCCAAAGAGAACAAGTGTAGTTTTTACAAACACTTAATAACTATTACTTTGGGGGATAAAAGTGGTTTCTCGAAACAATGAGCATCTGTTGAGAGTCAGCCCTTTATTTATCCATCCCCCCAGATAGTGAGCCATACAGAAACTTCTTTACCTCCACAAAGAAGGCCACACAGAATTGGGCGAGAGCTGCCACCAAAACTGAAACCCTCCATGATGTTACAGTCGGGACGAACTGTTGAAAAAGAAATACTACCTTTATACTTTGCATACTTTACACTTGAACACACATTCTCTTACTTAACTTATGTATATTTGTAACAACTCTCTGGGCTTGGAGGGGAGGCGTTACTCTCTCAGCTTTACAGATGAGAAGGTCAGTACCTTGCCTTAGGACTTGGTACCAAGAAATCAATGGCAGAGTCAGAATTCAAATAAGGTCTGACTGCCTCTCGCCCATTGCTCCCTCCACTGCCTGATGATAAACATGGAGTAAATGTGCCCTGGATCAGAGACATGAGACAGGATACTTTGAAGCCCGTGTTCTCTCTCCTCATTTTTATCTTCTCAAATACAAGAAAGATTAAATCATTCATCTAATGATATTATTACTTCCAGTGCTCTCAAAGCAAAATCTACTTGGAGCTCATTCATTCAGTAGCATTGACATATGAGTAAAAGAAATAAAAAGTAGACAGAGGTTCAAGTTTATTTTGATAGACACTCGGTGAATAATTTTTGAATAAATATTCTCAGCCTTAAATCTAATGCCTTGATGAAAGCTGAACTGGCTCAATCTATCTCCTTTTAAGGATTAAAGAGTACCCTTGACCACCAAATACACTTATTGAATAGGTGTGAGATCTACAACTTCCCATAGATACATCCATAGCAAAAGATGAATTATGAAATTCCTTTTTTGACCCTAAAAGGTAGGATGACTGTGTAGAGGCTGAGCTCTGTTTAGGACTAAAACCACAGACGCTCCACAATGTTTAAATGCTTACCTTTGATTCTTACCCCTATTCTCATAGGCTATTTAAAGTAGCAACATGTTATTTTTCCTCCTAAGTGGAAACAGCCTTTCTCAGGGATGTGAAATAGGCTTGCTGGGTAGCAGGGTGGTCTGGAGAGGGCTGTGAGATCCGACAGTGGGTCAGATGGTATTGGAGCGCTTGGCCCTTTCCCGCATCCTGCTAACGCCCTGATCTGGGAGGTCACTTCTCTATGCCTTGGCCTGGAGGGCACTTGTCACATTGCTTTGGAATTATCTTCTGTGATGCTCTCCCCTCCTAGTTTCTGAGCTACTGAGAGCAGTGACCACGTCTTACTCGTTTTTGTAACCCCAGTGCCAAGCCCACTCTGAAGCTTCGCAATGCTTTGTAAATGACCGAATGGTCTGGGTTTTCTTATCCTAACTGCTTCTCTCTCCAGAGCCTGTCCTCTCACACAGCATTCCTGCCGTCGTCTAAGGAATCTGTCTTAAGTGCTCCACTGAGAAACCTGCTCTGGTGTCTTCAGGGACTCCCATTGCTCTCGGCAGAGAGTGGAACCATCATTGTCTGCCTTCCTCCATCCATGTCTACTCCACAACTTACTGGCTTAATCTTAGCTAACCTTCCAGGTGGTCTGTGAAACAAATCTTGCTTTGGATTTTCCTCTCAGGCATTCTACTTTCTTTTGCATTTCCAAAACAAAAGAGATCGGCCCAGCCCTCTCTGCTGGTGCTTAGGCTGTCCTAGTTGGGAATATCCCTACTTCCTACTTAGCAAAGTCGAACCTCTCCTTCCAGACCAGATGAGGTTGCATCTCCTGCATGAAGCCTCCCGTGGAAGCTACAGGCCCCAGGGACAGCTCCTCCGTCCTATGTCCCTCGCACTTCTCTCTTTTTTACACTCTCATCAAGCGTGGACCGCCTCAGGTGGCCTTGCCATCACTTCACTGGGTATGGCTCATCTTTGGAACTAAACTATAGGTAGAGGGCCAGAGCCAATCTTCGTCTTTCTATTTTTCCTACAATGCTAGGTCCAAAAATAGGCTCAAAAACTAATTGATAAATTTAATTTTAACCCTTGAAATAAGACCCCCCCATTGTCAGTGTCTTATAGACAAAACATGACTGACTTACAGTCAACATTTTCTTACTCTTCACAACTACATTATAAAGGACTTATACTATATGATTCAAAAATTAATGTTGGATGATTAATTATTATATTAATGCATTAATTTCATTGTATTAGTATAACATAGAAAAATAAAATATCCAAACACAGTGTTCCAGGTATAAACAGAATAAATGAACCCAACTGATGATACTAATAATATGAAAACACTAAGCACGTGTGAGATAGAGATATGTTATTTGTTCTTCTAGTAAATGAAAATAGCTTCACATATTCAGTGACCAGAGAGAATATGGGTGTAACTGATTTGTAAATTATCAATACAATGCAAATACAGTCCCACTGCACATAGGAGTCATGGATTCCACATACCTCCATTCCACGGTATATATCTGGAAAATCAGAAAACTGAAGGAAAATTGTGAGGCCCAAGGCAGATGCCAGCAAAAATGAGAATATATCTGAAGAAACAGCAAACATTATTTTTAGATGCTGAGGGAATGTTTCCTGTAATTTGGCACACATGTTTCAGTATCAATTATCTTTGTTGGGCAAATACTGGATAAATCTTCAGATGTTTTGATATATCCTCATATGTTTTAAAATATGTTCTAATGCTTACAAGACAAAGGTGATATCTTAAAAATCTTTCCTTGAAAGGCTGAGTGTAGAAAGTTGGTAATTAAATATATTCTAGTAAACTCCATGAAGAAGTTACCTCAACTGAGGAGTCCTTGGGGCAGGGAAACCCTGCAGTGACCAGCTCATGTAAATGGTCACCAGAGAGTTCCTGATGCTTTATCACCTCGGGTCTAGTGAGTCGTTCATGAATAAATTATTTACACAGTCAGTCTTAGTGGCACCTCACTCTTCTTCATTGCTTAGAGAATAAAGTACAAGGGTCTTGAATGATTGATGTTCAAGGCCTTCCACAGTCTGGTTCCAATCAGCCTTTCTAAACTGATCTCTGGTTGCTCTTCCTTAAGTTCCGGGAAAGTTAAACCATAAACCTGCTACTCGCAGAGACCCAGTGCCTTCTAGCTTTCGTGCCTTTGTTCACAAAATACTCTGTGTAGATGGTAGTCTTCCAGTCTTGGCAAGTTCCCAGTTTTTCTTAAAAAGCCCAGTTCCAATACTACTTTCTTTTAAAGACTCTCCAATTCTCTCTTACCGAGTTTTATTTCATATGGTGTTTATCACTCTGCTTTGCGTGATCGTCGTATATATATTCAGTATCTTATAACCACCTGAAAGGGATTTTGATCTGCTTCTCTGGGACTCCAATTGGAAGTGGAAGTGAGAAGCTAGCATGCATATCTGCTGGCTTCTTTCTCTCCAACTTGCCCAGATGGCTTTACTTTGGGATGCTCAATTTCTCAGGATGCACAGTGCCAACATCCCTATCCTTATTTCCCCAACCCCATCCCCCCTTGTGGCCATCAGCTTCTAGGCACTTTGTGGACAGTGCTTTATATATGCTTTTTAATGGGATTAGCAGCTTCAGGCCCAAACAGCAGCATTTAATCAGTGTTGCTGTGACATGATACTTAACGGTCTTCAAAATTAAAAACAAGCTAGATTTTCTCTTGTATTCTCTCTACCTCATTTCTTCCAGTGTTGATGGCTTATGGGTCCCCAACTCTGCATAGATCTACATTAAACAGAAATCAGAGGAACTGTCCTCTATAGCAGGGCCTATATTTTGAAGCCACAAGAGCTCTGTTTTAATCCTTACCACCTACACTCACCTTCATATTCTTCCATGCCTCACTCTACATATACAACTAGATGAAGCACCTCTTAGAAGAATACCCATGCTTGCTTGAGAGGAGTGTGAGGCAGAGAGAAGAAAGGAAGGGGCTGTATCTCCTAAAATAAAGCAATCTGAGCAGATTGGTGATGAGAAGACCCTGGGAGGTAGCTGTGTGGATTTTTCATTTCCTTCAGTGTTTCCAAGTCCCAAGGACCCAGATGTTGGGAAGAAGATGATGCCCCAAATGTCCATCCTGATGAAGTGCTCACTGGAACTGGGCTGAATACTGTGCATGTCAGACTGCCCTCAGACTTGGGGTCTGAAAAGCAGGCCAGGCTAGAGCACAAATGAACAGAACGGAAACAAAATGCTGAGGCTCTCTTCTTTAACTCAGCTTTGATTGGACAACTTCATAAAGAACTGAAGTGAATGTTGCCCTCCTATAATGTATTACTATTGATGAGGAAACTGGAAAGAATGGGGTTCTGTTTGCACAGGTGATTTGGGAAGAGAAGCCCTGGGCAAGCCATTATAGACTATTCTCAGATAAGAAGAGGCTTAATAAATATTCACACCTGTTTCCATAAAAATTAAATCTGTACTTGTTCTATAGCTCATCATCATCATAAAGTTGGTCTGTCAAAGACTGTTAAAAAAGGTAAAGACTTTTCTGTTACATTAAAATAGAATTGTGTATTTTAATAGCCGTTCTGAGAACTTTTGACTTGTAACCTTGAGAGTATATGATTTACTATAAGATTATGTTTGTTAGAATATGTTTATAAAAACATTTTTTATTTAAAATTATCAGTTATGTTTGACTTAGGGATTTGAATTTACCCACAAAATTTAAGTCTCTATGATGTAACTAGTTCAGCTCTAATTAACTCATTATATTTAGAATGACTTTGCAGCTATTATTCAAATTAAAGTACTAGCCAATGTAATATATTCTCCTTGTAAAGTATATTTACAATAAAAAAATAGTAACCTGAAAACAAAATAGAATCTTGACTTGTTTCAACAGGAGCCAGGGACATTATCAGATACCATATCAAAATTAAGAAAAATTTGAACAAAAATAAGAAATTTAGGAAAAAATTTGTAAAAACTGTAATTAAAACAAGATTTTAGCATGCTGTCAAAACCTCTGACAAAACATATACAAAAGAAGATGGGGGGGAGGTTGAAAACAGAAAGCATGTGAATAATATAATTGCTAAAACTGGTTTTATATGATAAATTAATTTTTAATTTAGGAATAAGAATGAGACTTCTCTAATATCTATGATGTTTTTTGAAAATTAGAAATTAGAGTTTATGACATGTGATATACAAAATTGGAGTAAAATTTCCAGATCAGAAATATCACAGGCTAGATTTTCTCTAGTCATGACAATAAAACTAGAAATTAGTAACTAAATTTAAAGGAAAAATCTCCCCACATACAAATCAAAATTCTAAAGATATGTTGAGTCAAAATGGAAACCAAGTCCATTTGGAAACTATTAAGAAAAAGAGTAGTAAGAGAATGAAAACAAAATCCTTTCCCACTTGTAAATTGAAAACCACTATTCTTGTAACTAGTGGGTCAAAGAGAAAATTAAGTCATAATAAGAGACATATGAAAATGTAAAGAATATAACCCAAACTACAATGATTGGTCTTGATGTTTTTTCCTAATTTTACAAGAATAAAAGAAATACATGGATTGTAAAATCAATTTAAACATTAAAGAATTTTCCAAGGAAAGTAAGAAGAGGGGGAAAATGGGAAAAGCAAAAATGAGTAAATTAGAAAATAGAAAACATACAAAAGTATTAAATCTGAGAGCTGGTTATTTAAAGAAAACCAGTAAAAGTACATTTCTGGTAAGACTAAATGAACATAGTGCACATAAACATAATTAATATGAGAAGATATTAAAAGTTGTAGATGGCATTAAAATTAAAAGAAAATATCATTCAAAACCCTGTCCTAAAACAAAATAATCTCAATGAAATGAAATTATGGGTAAAGTTTTTTTAATTTTAAAAAACAGTGTAAAAAGAGGATACCTAAATAAATTCTCAAGAAATTAATTCTTTCAATGAAAAGATTTGGAACCAGATGATTTTACTGGGCTCTCATAAATAGTGAAGGAATACACTATTTATAACTATAAAATATTTTTCAAAGAAAAGAAAAAGTCCAAGAATTTTGAAGTATTAATATCCAAACCTAAAAAAACTCTAACACAAAATACTTCAGACCAATCCCAGACAAAATGTAGATATTAAAAGCAATATTAAAGAACAGTAGGATTCATTTTAGTAAAAGTGAAATCCACCACAAATAAGTAGAATTTGTTCAAGAATATGGAAAGATTTAATAAGTTTATTAATGTAACATGTTCTAGCAATAGGTCAAAATAGAAAACAAGTATAATCATCCTAGTAGGAAGGATGAAGGGCAGGATGTAAGAAAGATGGTTGATGAAATACATCTCCCATCTTATAATTTTAAAACATATTCTTGGTTTATTGGAAATAGGTATTTTTCTTCACATGATGTGGCCCACCTTGAACCAATATTCAAAACCATATTTACAAATGAAAAATTACTAGAAGTATTTTTATGAAGGAATAGAACTATCTGCTGCTTCCACTATTACTTGACATTGTCCTGGAAATTCTGGATTGTACACTAAAACAGAATATATAAATAAGCATTATAGCTATTGGAAAGGAAGAAGGAATATTATTTTCTTTTTTGGTAATGCCATGTGACTTGTGGGATCCTAGTTCCCCAACCAGGGATCGAACCTGGGGCTCCTGTAATGGAAGAGCAGAGTCCTAACCACTAGACTATCAAGGAATTCCCTGTGAAACATTCTTAATTGCAGATGACAGTAATTACCTTTCTAGAACACTCAAACAGCAAAGACTAATAGCAAAATTCAGAAAGGATGCTGAATAGAAAATAAACATTATAAACAGCACTATATCATTCATGCATATTTGTGATCACTGATTAGAAAATATAATGGGAAAAAAGTCAATCACTATATAAAAAAATGCAAAAAGCAGAAGATTAGTTTTTAAAATAAATGGATGGGATCTATAGTGGAGAAAGTCACAAATATGTACTAGAGACATAAAAGAAAGTATGAATAAATTAATAATACTCAAATTAGGACACGACTCATGACTATTCAATACAGCACATGCTTATCTGCACATAAACATGTTTCTGCCCTTGGGCTTTTTACCCAAGGGTAAATTATGATAATTATGGTTCAGTACTCAATTTTAGAGTAATGCAATTGTTTGCTTCTCGGCCAATCACTTCATCAGTAGTTTGCAACTCTAGGGATAGTGGGAGAGTAGAAAAAAACATATTTGAAAAGACAAATTAAATTTCACACTTACAGTTTGTGTAGATAGGTTTTCGAAATGGCTTGCCTTTAGAAAAGATAAATGCTGTTGTGATACAGTTGATGGTGGTGATGGGCCACAGCGTGGTACTTTCAAAGCTTAAAACTGAACCAGGAAGCAATGCTCCATTTCCAGTCCAGTTTTTTGACAAACTCACATTCGTTGAGAAATTACTCTGGCTGTCCAGAAAGCACTTACTAGAAAAGAATAACCAGCATTTATGGAACGTTCATTGTATTTTTATCTAGCCAGTAGGAAAAAATTAACTAATCATGACCCAGGGACCTCACCTTGCAAGCTATTTCAGCAAATAACTACCAGGATATATTTTGTTCACCTCTTGCAGTGGCAAAGCAGAAATAAACTGCAGAGGAAGTCAAGATTGTTCTTTGTCCAGAAGCCTATCTAGAACAAATGCTCTGTCTTGAAAGGGCTAGGACGACAATTTCCAGGGAAATTCCTTTCAATTCAGACCGTATGAACTCTATGTGTATGTATGCGTGTATGGTGTGTTTCCTTTTGTGGACTTATATAAATCTCTTAACATGGGTCCTGAGTTGGAATCTGCCTATTCTGATCCACTCTCCTCACACAACCAAAACCTCTCCATGAGGATTTGAACAATCTCCTGCTTATGAGTGTCTGTGTTTCTGTTTTGCTAACAAATTAAACTCAAACTTCTCAAGCAGGCCCAGAAGACTTTCAAACTCTGGTCTCAGTCAACCTTTCCAGCCTTATCTTTTGCCAGACTTCCCATGCTCATTATACTCCAGTCATAGGAGAATGTTCCTTTTCTCCTTTTGCACACCTCTGAGTTCAGACATCCTATTTCTATCTGAAACTCCTTACATTCAGTGGTGAGTATAAGTAGTACCCTTTAGTCTTCTCTCTAGTGATGCATTTAGCTCATTGTTTTGCAATTATTCTTTCACATATTTTCATTTTCCATTCTTGGGATGAGAGTTCTTTGAATGTGAAATTTTACTTCTGGTTTTATTTCCCTTTGCTTGTTTATTTTACTCAAATATATAGCAAATTCTTAGCACCTAGCACAGTGATGCCACATGGTATTTTCTCAGAAAAATATTTAAGATATGGACTTTCCCAGTGTTGACTGATCCATTTGAAATCTTCATTTTTTTCAATAATGAAACCCACAAAGGAATCTATTTTCATCAGCTTTCTTGTTTAATTTCAAACTTTCTGCTACTATTACAACTGTTTATAGATACAATTCATTTTTCAATTGTGAATTCAAATGCAAGGCATAAGTCTTATTATCCTAGACTTCCTAGACTCCCAAAATGTGCTTTGCATATAGTAGATGTTCAGTTGGTGCCTGCAGAATACATTAATGAAGCACACAATCAACAGTCACAAAGCTTTCTAGCACAAAGTGAATAGATAGACTAGAAGGCCTGAATTACAGAGTTTAACGCCAAAATATATCTAATCTAATAAACTTGCATGGCAGATAAGACGGTTGAGTAGTTAATGACAAAGGCAGGACCATCCATCCATCACCCTTCTGGTTACCCCAAGTTGCCTCCTAGATTCAATCAGAAGGCTACTTCTCTGAATACATGTGCTCCAATTTGTGGCAAAATCTGGTTTTGAAATAAAAATGAACTCTATGCTCTAAGTAATACTTGAATTGCTGAATTTGGGTTCTAAATGACAATCTTAGACATCATTTTGTAGTTTCCGATCTCTCCACTGATACCTGGGGCTCTAATGCCTTCAGGATGACAGAGGAATGAAGGGGAGTTTGTACAAGCCCTACTCCAAAAAGATCAGCTCTTTCTGCCTTTCTTTTTTGGAGATCGGGCAGGCTTTGTCAGAAAAAAACAGTTTGAGCATCTAAGTTCGCCTCATCTTACCCTTAATTTATAGTTAAGGAAATCAAATCCCTGGGAGGTGAAGAGATTTGCCCTGAGTCTACAGTAAAATCAGAACACTGATACCATCAACAAATATTTAAATTTTAACATTCATTTGAAAAACTGAAACGAATATAAACAAATCTGTTTTGTATAGCAGGGGCCTGTTGACTTAAGCCCATCAGCCAAATCTGACTCAATGCCTGGTTTTGTCAAGAAAGTTTTATTGGAACACTGTCACACTGCCTTGTTTATGTGTTGTCTCTGGCTGCTTTTTCACCGCAACTGAAGAGTTGAGTAGTCGCAGCAGAGACCACGGAGCCCACGAGGCCCAAAATTTTTACTATCTGGCCCTCTACTAGAGATGTTTGCCAACTTCTGGTTTATATGACATCCAAACCACCAGGGAGTGAATGTGTTCATCCAGTCAAGTAACTATTACATCTATATATCAACAGCCAATGTGGAGATCTTTCCCCACCCACTCCACATAGCTCACCCCCGGACTCCAGCCATTGACTCTGTCCTATGTTCTATCCCATCACTGATGTTTTGTAGTACAGAAACAACTTTGGTTAATTAAAATTTTTGGATATATTTCAAACTAATTTGAACAAGGTCATTAGATATTCATTGCACCACCTTCAGAAAGGGAAACTGAGGAAGCAAACTTTACCTGTATCTGTAGACCTCACAATACCAGGGCTGCTGCTTCAACAAAAGAAATGCACAGACCTGCACAATGCAATTGAAGCAGGTATTCAAAACAACTGACAGCAGCAAAGGCGGAGAGAGAAGCTGTCCTGATGGTCGGTATGGAGCCAGTTTGGGGTATGCGTGCGTTGCGCTCACTGAAAGACAAATGTATTTTTCCTAGGTCTAATTTCATTATTGAGAATACAAGATTGAGATGCATGTTATTCTGGACCCTGCATTAGGGTCCAGATACAGGAAACATGCACCGAGGGTTTACAACTAGGTAAGTTCACTGCCCAGCTGCACACCAGGGCTACCAACCTTCGCCTCTTCCATGCTTTGGTTTCATCTTCAGAAATGAAAAGTGATGGATTCAAAGTTCTAGAATTAATACATGGACCATTGCATGGTGCAGATATTTTCTTTACAACCAGATCGGTCAGGATGGTGTATAAAAGATGGCCTCCCACCTGAATAAGAGTACTGTTATCTCTGAAGGACAACGGGGAAGTGGAGAGTTAAGCAGTAGAGAGTAAGGAGGCATCTAGTTGGACTAATGTTCATATGCTCGGAAATTTTTTAAAAAGCAAAAAATGTTCACTCTATTATTCATTCAGTCAACATTCTTTGAGCACTTCAGTGTACCAGGATAGACGCTACAGGTGTGTTCTGCTATCTCCCAAAGAAGTGTGCAAATGGAGAACTGCTAGAGTGCATTAGACTTAGGAAAAGAAACTTAAAATATTGCCTTTAGATGGGAGTGTTAAACTATATTTTGGTCCTAGTATTTGTTTTTTAACATTTGGGGTTGGCAATGGGCAGTCACCAGTGGCTCAGCAAGAAAGCATCCAACTGCAATGGGTCAGGAAGATCCCTTGGAGGAGGAAATGGCAACCCACTTCAGTATCATTGCCAGGAAAATTGCTTGGACAGAGGAACATGGCGAGCTATAGTCCATAGGGTCACAAACAGCTGGACAGAAATGAGTGACTAAGCACACACTGCGCACACACACACACACACACAAAAGACAATTACATCCATCTTAGAAGTCATATTCTAGCAAACTGATGAAAATGGAATGTGCTTTACTTCTCAGGGCAGATCAGGAAAGAAGCTTGGAGAGGTCAGGGTGTTTCAGTTCTTTACGTCTGTCACTTCTCTCATTTTCATAGCTTATGACTGCTTTCTCTGATGTAAGAAAGAGGGGTATATATCCTTAGGGCTGTGTTCATTCCTGTGGGGACAGGGCACTGGGGAGTGAGCATCCAGTGTTGGATAATAAAAGTTCACAGTGGGTCTTTAGTTTGCTCAGTGCGTCTTCTGGGGTATTCACAGACCATCTTTGGTCTTTCATTTTCTCACGCATGTATACTAAGTCGCTTCAGTCACGTCCAACTCTTTATAACTCTATATAAGCTGTAGTTCACCAGGCTTCTCTGTCCATGGGATTCTCCAGGCAAGAATACTGGAGTGGGTTGCCATGCCCTCCTCCAGGGGATCTTCCCAACCCAGGGATTGAACCCATGTCTCTTACGTCTCTTGCCCTGATAGGTAGGTTCTTTACCACTAGTGCCACCTGGGAAGCCCCTTTGGGGCTTCCAGATGTGTGGGAATGTCTAAATGATCTCCAAAAGCTCTTGCAGCTCATTTATCTAAAGCTCTCTGGCTGTCTAAAGCTTTAACTTTACTAATTTAATCAATTTATTTCAGAAGGGTGTAGAGCTAGAGACTACGAGGTATGCAAAGGTAAGAAGGACATCTCATCTGCTTCCAAAGAGCTTGAGCCCCACTGGGAAACACATGGGGTGTATAATAAAGCCTTGATTATTAAATAAATAATAAAGAAAGTCTTCTTTATAAAGTCTTCTTTATAGTGACTGGTCTTCATCTCAGATTCCTGGGAGGTCAACTCTGGACTCTTGGAGTGAGCAGTTTGACTGGCCTTTGCCTTCACTTCCTGGGATATATCATCTAAATTCTTGGAATTTCCTGATTGATAGGAGTATCTTTTTTGTTCACAGTGGGCCTGAAGAGAGTTTGTGCTCATGAGATGACTCAGGATGTGTGAGTTGGCCATGCCCAAAATACCAACTGTGATTAGAGGGCTGGGGGCTTTGAGCCACTTGCTATCAACCAAATCTTCAGGGGAAAAGAGGAGAGCTGAAGTCTGTGTTCAACTTACGGCCAATGGTTCAGTCAATCATATCTATTTAATGAGACTTCAGTAAAAATTCCCTACACTAAAGCTCAGGTGAGTGTCTCTTTTTTCCCCAATATTCTGAATATGGTCATACATCACTGGGCAGGAGAGTAAGGCAAACTGACTCCTTAGGGAGAGGCCAATGGAAATGTCATGTTTGAGATCCTCCCAGACCTTGCCCTTATGTCTTTCCCTTTCAGTTCAGTTCAGTCGCTCAGTCGTGTCCGACTCTTTGCGGTCCCATGAACCACAGCACACCAGGTCTCCCTGTCCATCACCAACTCCCAGAGTCCACCCAAACTCATGTCCATTGAGTCAGTGACGCCATCCAACCATCTCATCCTCTGTCGTCCCCTTCTCCTCCTGCCCTCAATCTTTCCCAGCATCAGTGTCTTTTCAAATGAGTCAGCTCTTTGCATCAGGTGGCCAAAGTATCGGAGTTTCAGCTTCAACATCAGTCCTTCCAATGAACACCCAGGACTGATCTCCTGTAGGATGGATTAGTTGGATCTCCTTGCAGTTCAAGGGACTCTCAAGAGTCTTCTCCAACACCACAGTTCAAAAGCATTAAGTCTTCGGTGCTCAGCTTTCTTTATAGTCCAACTTTCACATCCATACATGACTACTGGAAAAACCATAGCCTTGACTAGACAGACCTTTGTTGATAAAGTAATGTCTCTGCTTTTTAATACGTTGTCTAGGTTGGTCATAACTTTCCTTCCAAGGAGTAAGCGTCTTTTAATTTCATGGCTGCAATCACCATCTGCAGTGATTTTGAAGCCCAGAAAAGTAAAGTCAGCCACTGTTTCCACTGTTTCCCCATCTATTTGCCATGAAGTGATGGGACTGGATGCCATGATCTTAGTTTCCTGAATGCTGAGCTCTAAGTCAACTTTTACTCTCCCTTTTCACTTTCATCAAGAGGTTGGCTCTATTTTGTACCCTTTTGCTATAATAAAGCTGTAATAAGCTAAACAGCCATTTCCTGAGTTCCATGAGTTGTTGTTGTGCATGATTGAATTCTGAGGTACTAGTAAGAACCCCTACATTAATAACCAGCAGATCAGAGGTGTTCATAGCATGGGTACTCTCAAACTTACAGCTGATATCTGAAGTGAAGGCAGTCTTATGAAGGCTGTGAGGTTTGGCCCAACTCCAAGTAATTGGTGTCAGAAGTTATTGCATGGGCTCACAAGGCAGACAAGGTGGACTGTGTTCAATGCTGAGAAGGCAGAGGCCGCCGTGCTTAGAATTCACTCTGTCGTACAATATCCAAGGTAGAATGTGACCACAGAGTTCATGGAGAGACTGTGGGTACTGGAGAGACATGTAGTCGCATCTCTGTGCATCTGCCGTCTACCTATTTGGTTTTCTCTTTTTTGGATGCTCATTGTAATTTCTGCCTTTTCTTTTATACAGGGACTGTGAGAAACTGAATTATTGGTCTCATCTCATTGTGAAAGGGTGTACTTTATCTCCCCTTAATGTCATATTTTACTGTGTGATTTTCTCTGGCCAAAGAGATGTTAGCAGAGTTATTATTTTTATTTTTAATTGGAGGATAATGACTTCACAATATCATGATGCTTTTTGCCACACATCAACATGAATCAGCCCCAGGCATACCCATGTTCCCTCATTCAGGAGCCTCCCTCCCCATCCCACCCCTCTAGGTTGTCACAGAGCACTGGCTTTGGTTCCCTGCATCATATAGTAAATTCCCACTGGCTATCTATTTTACATATGGTAATGTACTAGTTAGCAGAGTTTTGAGGCATACTTGAGTGGCTCGGCTTGCTCTCTGACTCTTCTCTCTTTGATCTATACTGATAACATGCCCAGGTCTGTCTATTCAGCCTGGCCTCAGAAAGAAAATTGTGAAACACACCTCAGTTAAGCCCAGAACCTGGATCAAGACTATCTAATCTACATCCTAAGCAGAGTGGCTCAGATGAGCCCACCTGGACCAACTGAATGATAGTCAACTCACAGAAGCATAAGTGAGTGTTGCAAGCCACCGAGTTTTGAGGGTGGTTTATTATACAGCATTACTGGGATAACAGCTGATTGATACAGATTATTACGTAAAGATTATTTTAACTTTTTCTGTTTTAAAGATGTTTAATACTTTCTGATAGGGAAATATACTTGTATACTTGACTATTAATAAAAATAATGACAACCATTTTAGAATCCCTACTAGTCCATGGAATTCTGCAGGCAGAATGTTGGAGTGGGTAGCCATTCCCTTCTCCAGGTGATCGTCCCGATCCAGGGATTGAACCCAGGTCTCTGGCTTTGCAGGCAGATTCTTTATTGTCAGAGCCTCCAGGAAGGCCCTTTCACTAGGTCCAGAGGCTGTGCTAAGTGTTTTATAAATATTGTCACTATTTCTTTAAGAAACAATGCCAAATATGTATTTATCTCCTACGTTACAGGTGAAGAAACTGATGTTTTGAGAAGTAGAATCCTTGCTTTAGTGAGGGCTATGGTGGTGATGTAAGTCTGTCTGATTTTAAAGCTTCATGTTGGCTCAAATGGTAAAGTATATATGTACTTAGCCAACTGTGAGCTTCCTGAGGAAAGAAATCCTGTCTTGCTCACTGTCTGTCCTTTACTGAACCTAGCATAGAGCCTTCTGTATGGGAGGACTTAGCAGCTTCAAAGTCTATTCTCAAAGTATAGTTTTTAATTGCTCATCATCATCTGGATATTATGTATGTATGTTTCTCCTAAATAGTTGGCTTACTTTTTATTATGGACATTTCAAGTCATGTAAGTCTAAATTTAGGAGGCTAATGAACCCACCCAAACTTAATGCAAAATTTTGAGCATGTGTCAGGAAATTTCTAAGGTGAAAAAAAATCATTATCTTTCATTAGATCCTTCAAGAGGCCCAAGGCCCAGAAAGGACTCATTGAAGCACAGATGAAACTTGAGATGTATTTATGT